AAAAAAAAAAAAAAGAAATGCCTAGGAACTAAGATAGGTGACTGCCTTAATCATTAGGGAAGAACTGAGATAAAAGGCACCCTGGCCTCATCTTCTGGAAACAAAAATGTTTTGTAAAGGTAGTGAATCAACCTACATCCCCATTGTCACTTCCCTGGCTCAGTGACCCAAGACCCACAGTAGCCAGAAACTGGGCAGCCCTCTGCAGAGCATCACCTAATGCTATTTCAGGGACTAGAATGGTGTATCTTCTCTTATTCTATTTCCCCTAATTTTTCTCTTATCTGTTTTAGGATACAAGGTCCCTATTGGGCACTTGGTATTTATGGCATTACTGCACAAGTGGCATGGGTCACACAAGTAGAGTATTATATGCTAAGGCAGGGATGAGAGAGTCCTGGGTATAGGACACAATGGAAGTCATCATTTCTTAGATCTTTTATTGGTTTAGAGAATCAGTGAGGAAAGGGAAGCTGGGGTGTAGCTAGACCAGGACTATAGTAAGTGTCTCTAAGAAACTGGGAATTAAAGTAGGAGTGGGGCTGGGTGTGGTGGCTCACACCTTGGGCTCCCAGCACTTTGGGAGCCTGAGGTGGGTGGATCACTTGAGGTCAGGAGTTCGAGACCAGCCTGGCCAACATGGTGAAACCCCGTCTATACTAAAAATACAAAAATTAGCTGTGTGTGGTGGTGTGCACCTGTATCCCCAGCTACTTGGGAGGCTGAGGCAGCAGAATCACTTGAACCTGGGAGGCGGAGGTTGCAGTGAGCTGAAATCATGTCACTGCACTCCAGCCTGGGCAAGAGAGTGAGACTCTGTCTCAAAAAATAATAATAATAAATAAAAATAAATAAATGGGGAGTTGTATGTATCAGCCTGTCCTGTAGTTAGAGATACATGGAGTCTTTTAGCCATCACACAGATTGAGAGTAGGGTCAAGAACTGTTTGTTGCCTGTTAACAGATGATAAGTAAATCCTACTAAGCAATACAGGGCCTGTGAGTGAACTCAGCTGGTTAAGGATGTAAGAGGAGTGAAGACTAGAAAGGTCCACTACAAAATGCGCAGTAGAGTATAAGAAATCATTGCCCTCATGAATTCTGAGAAAAAGTCAAGGATGAAATTGACTGAGATGAAACAGAAAATGAGTGTGATAAGATTATAAGAAAACTAAAAACAATGAGCAAGAATTAAATACATAAAAATAATTGGCCAGGCGTGGTGGCTCATGCCTGTAATCTTAGCACTTTGGGAGGCCGAGATGGGCAGATCACTTGAGGTCAGGAGTTTGAAACCAGCCTGGCCAACATGGCAAAAAAAAAAAACAAACCATCTCTCCTAAAAATATAAAAATTAGCCAGGCTTTCAGACCTGTAATCTCAGTTACCCAGGAGGCTGAAACAGGAGACTCGCTTGACTCTGAGAGACGGAGGTTGCTGTGAGCCAAGACCAGATTGCTATGCTCCAGCCTGGGTGATAGTGTGAAACTGTATCTTGGAGAGCAGATGGCAGGTAA